AAAAAAAAAAAAAAAAAAAAAAAGAAAAGAAAAAATAACCAATAACAGACAAATATTCTGAATTGTTCTGTCATTTTGATTTAACAAACATGTCAGCTGAGAGAACAAGACTGGGTATTTTAATTATGTCAGCATATAATAATTAAATCTGGCTTTACTCGCCTTTGGGTATATTTTTAAACAAAAACAAACACAAAACCTCTGTCTATGCAATCAGTAGCTTTTAATGTTAAGCACATATTTGGCAACGTGTACCCGGTAAGCGGGCTGTCATCACTAATTCCTTTGGTACCCATGTGATAACATCAGTCAAGAGGAACCATAGTGGATATAACACAAAAGTGTGGGTTTCTTTCTTTATAAATCGGCAGCTGTGAAAAGATTTATAATTTCCCTCTCACTGACATCACTGGGCAGGTAAAGCAGGCAGCCCCACTGGCTTTGATGAAAGGATATTACCCGGCGTATGGAGTTAACATGGGTGACAGTTGTAATATCTTTTCCCTGATGTTAGTTACAGCTGTTGTACCATTTCAGGCATGTCAGGAAAGTAGAGATGTTTAAACAGAGGAAAAATGCTCTGAAAGTCATCAAAAGGACACTTTTTCCAATGCCATTTGCTCTTGGTGCTATTTAATAAAAATGATTTAAAGACATTCATTTTTTTTTTTCTCAGTGGCAATTCAGATCATAAGCTGCCTTTTCTTTCCTTTTAAGCTTTGATAAGAATAACCCGGCATTTTTTAAGATTCTAGAGGCTGGTCCGGTCTCTTCCTCCCCTCTCCGCTCTGCAAGCTCCTGATGCGCAAAGATCTAAGAGATGGGCCACGGGTTGACGCCATGTTGCTGCCTGCACCTTGGCAGCTCATGGCCGCATCCAGAATGTGTATGGGAAAACCTCAGAGAAGGAAGAAAAATAGAAGGATTCCAACCCCCCTGCCCAACACGCACTCCAGGCAATTACTAAGACCGTCTCTTGGGGGTCTCAGGATCAAAATGGTGCCTGAGGCAATTGACATGACTTGAAAAATAATCCTCGAATTTCAGAAGTGACACACCAAAGTCGTGGCTCCATTCCATGTGGCTGAAACATCTGTGTGAGCAAAGGAGTCCCCCACTCCCAAACAAGCAGCGACTGTGGGGAGACAGGGGAGATATGATGGAACAGCAAGGGACTTCCAGGCAGCCTGCTCTCCTGCCTGAGTAGGGAAATGTTCCATCGGCATGGGACACTCAGGAGAAGGCTGGGGAGATTTCCAAAGCCATTCAGTCCCCGGTATGGGCTGTTCCAGCCACTGATAGCCACTTCCAAAAGGTTTCTATTAGAGCTAGACATTTGTGGGTAATTATCAAGTGTTGATAAAAGCACATATACAGTGGACTCTATAATGTAGACCCCTCTGCTAATGAGCTCATTTTAATCACCGAACAGACTATTTCCTTTGCTTTTAATGCTCATGCAGACACACTCACACAGACCCACAGTGGAGAATTTTTCTTGTATTTCCTGAACCCAGAGCTCTCACGTACCAACTGTCAGATACCTCCTGTTGGGTGACCACCCCACCCCACTTCCTCCTCTCTTGCTCTGCCTCCGACGTGCCTCCTAGTCAGACCGTTGGTCGTTGGATGCAGTCAGAGACCAGGCCATTGCCTGCAGCTTTTATACCAAGTGTTGACATGGGAGAGCTTAAGGCATCAAAGTCTTAACCGCTGTCCCACAACTGGCTGTTTCACAAATAGTTCCTTCAAAGAGCCCTGTTACAACGGAGCAAACATTTGCTGACTCACTCAGGGAGCGCGCGAACCTCCAGGAAGTTTGGTTGGCTCTAGACACTGTCTAACAAAACCAAGGCAATTGTTTTTCCATTATTCCATTACCGGCTGGCAGAGAAAACAACCAAAATAGAAATTGCTCCTTCGACATGAAGTCACGGAGACCACAGTGAGATGGCCTGGTGCTGTCGCCACCTGGGCACCTCACATTATTTCAGATGTTTCTTGGTCTAAGCTCATGAAATCCTCCAACCATCTTTACCCCTTGCTGCTGGCTATATCACTGAAGAATTGTTTTAGGCCAGAACTGAAACAGACTCAGATGTAAATAAATCTATTCCAGAACAGAATTTAATGATTGAAGTTACAATGGCAAATTCTATTTAGAATTTTCCAAATCCTCAAAGTATTCCCTGAAGTCTGATTTTAATAACAGAATTCAGAAAATGGGTAACCAGCTCCTGAGTGAAATATAAAGGACAGCGGCTACGATTCTTCAGGGCTTTCCTTTTGTATGAATTATAATATTATTACATTATATCTCTGCTAACATTTTTCATAACAAAAAAGAAATACTGGCTATCTGAAATTCCTTTCTCAGCATTGAAAGACAACTATGACAATAACAAGCAAAAAAAAAAAAAATTAGTGCAACAGACACCCAAACCTTAGTTTCCAGCTTTGTCCTGAGCTAGCTGCCCAGAGGAAAGACCAGCACCAGCTGTCATATACCTCCCCTAATTCTCCATCCTAGCCACCTTAGCTAAGACCTGCTCTCAGAAGTACGTGACTCAGTGGCATTTCCTCTCAAACTGATGTTTGTTTATTCTTTAGATTTTAAGGTTGGGCATTGGATTTGCAAAGGGGATGAGATTCTTTGTGGGCATTTTTGAAGGTTGGCTCCAACAGGCATTCCATTCTCTCTTTAAATGTCAAATAACATAAATCCACTTCTTGAAAAGTGTCATAGAACAGTCTAGAAGTGGTTGGGCCCTGAGTTTAAATGATTGATTGGGAAAAGCTTTAGGAACTCTCTGAGGATGTTGAAAAATAAGAAGAGATGTGCTGGGAGTTTGAAACCAGCCTGGGCAACATAGGGAGACCCTGTCTCTTCAAAAAATTAAAACATCAGCCTGGCTAATTTTTGTTATTTCTTGTAGAGACAGGGTTTCACCAGGTTATCCAGGCTGGTCTTGAACTCCTGGGCTCAAGTGATCCTTCCATCCTGGCCTCCCAAAGTGCTGAGATTACAGGCATAAGCCACCATATCTTGCCATGTGCAGGATCTTTATCTGGAAAGACTGTCTTTAACTAATATCATATATTTGATTTAAATGTTTTTTAAGAAATCACTTAAAGTATAAATAGAAATTCAGTGTGACATCCTGGAAGAGACTTAACGAGTTCAAGAAAGTAGAAATTAACCTGAAGGTAAGCTTGTGACCCTGCCGAAATGGTTTCTGAGAATGAGAAGAACATAAAATGAAGGAATTTATGAAGCACCCTATTTACATTGGCTGATGTTGTTGTAGCAGTATGCATGAGTTTAATGGTCTTGTGTAGCACTCACTACAAAGTTGAGGGATTACAGGAGGAGCAACTCACAGCCCTTGTGCTCTTAGGTTTCCCAAGACAGTCTTAACTTCCACCTCTACTTAGAATAGAAAACACTCATGACGTGTTTGCTTTAGGCTAGCGATTCTTCTAAGCCTTCAACACTCACTGACTTATTCAATTCCCATAACCACCATATGAAGGGAGCACTATAATTGTCTGCATTTTGTGGTTGAGGAAACAAAGGCAAGGTTAAATAACTTGCTGTGCCAGATATTGATTATATTCTCTCTCACCTCCAAATTCACCCTTTTTGCCTGCTCTGTTAAAATGGAACCAGGCCCTTTAAATATTTTCCCTTAGCCAGCTGACACAATGTTAGGCTTTGCCAGTAGAGCATGCTAGAGAGAAACTGAGAGAGAGAAACTGTGGGAGAAAAGGGTGCAGCTTCCCAGAGATAGTGCATTTGCTCAGCCAGCTCCAGCACTAGGCCCTGCAGGTGGCAAGTGGCTAGCAGCACTCATAGCCAGCTGCTTCCCCAGCCCCCTCCCTGAGGTGGTTTTGCAGCAGTGCCTCCAAGGAGATAGCTCCTTGTGCATCCTAGAGGGCAGATCTCTGGCAAGTTCCAGAGAGACTTTTAGATTTTCAACAAGTTCCATTGGCATGCCACCACAAAAACTTCTCCATCACCTCCAAGTCACTGCGGTTCCCTCTCAGCCCAGGGCTAGGAGGGACACTCTTTCTAGGACTCCTTGTATCTGCTGTACCCACCCATATTCTTCAGGGCTTTCTTTACTACTTTCTAGCCAACCTTCACTACTCTAATCTGCTATTAAGGTTAATGATTAAATATAGTAAACTTTTCCATTCAAATGCCTGTGTGGTTTCTCTTTCCTAGTTGGACCCAGACTGACAGCCTTGCCTAAGGCCACATTCCAGGGAGCAGCAGCCAAGATTGGAAACCAGGCAGCTGGGTTCCCGAGCTTCCATGCTTCACAGTGTTGTCAGGCGCTTGTGTGGGCAGGAAGGCACGGGTCTAATGCAGTGCGTGCTGATGTGAGGTCTCTAGTTCATACTGAAAGAAGGCAGAGAGGACATGGTGTCAGGAGAGGACCCCAGGGTGGGATTTTAAACAGTTTGCAGCAGATGGGTAAGAGAAAGGCATTTCAGAGAGGACAGTATGTATAGCAGTGGGAGGAGGGAAGGAAGGGTGACAGCTTCAGGGAAGGACAGAGGTGTCACCGGGCTCCTTCTCCATCCCCAAAACTTTCGTTTCATTCCCAGGGAGAATCCTGGTAAGATTTGGAGTCTTCAGGATCCTAAATCTTGCTCTCAATGGTTTTCCCAGCTTTTCTCTTACCAGCTGTCTACGAGGCAACATTCCCCACTGGAGCATCTAGAAGCACAAGGACTTTCATGGTGGTCAGAAGCGGAAGAGGATGGGGAGCAGGTCGGTGGTACCTGCTGGGCCTTGGGCAGCATTTTATACCTTATGTTCTCTATCTTGGCTGTCTACTTCATAACAGAATACATAACAGGGAAATACTTGCATGTTTATAATAATTGCATTTATTTCCACTTGTATTGTAAAAACTAGCTTGTTCTTAGCTCCCCAAACACACATATTTATAAATAATGTATATTATAAACATTTGAAAGAACGGATAAGCAAAGTTGGAGCCATTAGGCTATTTCTTAACAAAACAACTTTTTTTTTTTTTTTAATGGGGCAGGGCGTGGAGTGTTGTAGAAAACACTGAAGTTACGTTAGAGCTTCCATAGAAATGGATTCTTTTCCCTAGTGAGGAATGGTGCTGCGGGCGGGGGTGGCTGAGGGCCACTCTGACTGTTCCAGGTCACAAAGGGACGGGCTGTTTGTTCCACAGCCTCGGGCATTGCACCCACTGGTTTCCAAGCCAGTCTCTAGCACTGGGTGGTGCACATGGTCAGAAAGTTTTAAAATATGCTCTATGATGACACACATTTTTGCATTTGCATAACTGTCAGGTGTTGGGATTGGTACTTAAAAGGAGATGGGTTTGGATCCCAAAGGTTTGATGTAAAATATTTCCCAGGGATCTAAGCAAACTTGCTTCTGTAAGGCCTCTCTGATTGGCAGGAAACAGCAGGGGAGAAGAAATCAGAAGCAAAAGGTACAATTCAGAAGCAGAAACACGAAGGGGACTGGATCTAGTGGGTTACGTCGAGGGGGTTTCCCCACAACAGATTCCTGGCCAGTTTCCTCCAGGATTATTGTTTATGTTTGGCTTGGGCAGTAATTCAGGAAGTGATGTTTTCCTTATGGAAAAAAAAAATCAAAAGTAAAATAAGTGTTTTCCCATGATGAAGATAATGCTAAGTTTAATGGGTTATCCGGCATGTGAAGTCCTCCCAGGTCCAGGTAGCACGGCCAGCAGCGCAGCCTGCGGCTAGACCGCATTCCTTTGAAGGAGTTGGTCCAGCAGTTGCTAGAGCAAAAGGGAAACAAAGATGTCAAGTTCAGATTCGGCATCTGTGCCCCACACACATCACACCTGCTGGCAACGAGGCCATTACCTTTTTGAAGACTTCGGCACGGAGTCTGTTACTTTGTAAGATCACCCTTTTCCTTTGTTCTTCTTTCTTCTTTTTAACTTCCGGCAAGTTATTATAGATTCTGAAACAGATTCGGAAAACATTTGGGATGGTAGCTGACAGCGGGCTCCGCCGTGGGGCTGCATCCTGGCCTGTCGGCAGGCTCGTACATTTCAAAGGGAAGACCGCTGCTTATGGGCTAGCTCTCAGCTGCAGGATGCCAGGACGAAGGGCTTTCCTAACCATACCCAGAAGCCGCTGCAAGGCAGGGGATGGCACTTTGTCCAGTCCCACCAGGGGCAAAGCTGGAGAGGCCAGCTGCTTATTTAGCAGTCAATGTTTCTGTCCCTCCATTCTCTATGATAATAACTTAATCATAAAATGAAGGATTCTAAACCTACTGTTTTAGTATTCTGATAGTAAACTGGTTTCCAAATACCTTCTTACCACTCAGTGTTTGCCTTCCTGTGACTTAGAAAAGGAACAACAAATAAATGGAAGTGGCAGGAACTATAATACTGGAATAAATCACATATGAGTGTGTGTGTTTTTACCTCCCAATCTATTGCACTTTTAACTGAGGGCCCAAAGGATCTTCCTCTGGACACTTCTTTCCTATTTTCTAGCAGACACTTCATGTTCTGATGCCAGCTAAATTTCACTATAATCCACGGACACATCAGAGTCACTGTAGCCTGAGCATTTGGGTTGCTGTATGTGTGACACTCGGCTAAAACATCTTTCTCTCTCTTGTGCTTGAAAGCCAGACAAGATATAGATGAGATGTTCCACCATTAAAATGATAAGGACCATGTAGAAAAATGATGATGACAGTCTTTGCTTAGGTGTTGGGCACTAGGCTTGAATTGTTTGACATGAATTATTTCTTTTCATCTTCACCACAGTTGGAAGAGGCATATAGTGTCCCACGGTTATACAAATGAGAAACCCAAGCCACAGTGAGATCAGGAGACTGATAGGAAGTCCCTTGGCTGGCTTGCGGTGGGCTGGGATTTGAACCTTGATCTGTTTGACTCTTACTACACAACGCTATCACTCAACCATATGACATCAAGCTACGAGTGAGATCCTGGAAATGCTCGTGCCTAGCAGAGTGTCTAGCATCCTGTAGGCATGAACATGGGTTGAATGAATGCATGAAAAAATGAACACATAATTGCCACATTCAGGAATGATTCTAGAAAGGACTAGGAGGAAAACTGTAAGGGAGTTTGTAGGAAAACGGGCATGTCTCAAAGCTCTGCAGTGGGCATTTCCTCCGATCCGTATAGACTGACCTTTCTGATACTGACCATCTCAATCACCTGGCAGAGTGGCTAATATCAGGTGTCAACTTGATTGACTTGAAGGATTCCTGGATGGCTGGCAAGTTATTGTTTCTGGGTGTGTTTCTGAGGGTGTCACAAGGGAGGTTGGCATTTGAGTCGGTGGACTAGGAGAGGAAGACCCACCCTCAATGTGGGTGGGCACCATCTAATCAGCTGCCAGCATGGCTGGGACAAAGCAGAAGAAGGCAGGGCAACCTTGCTTGCTGGGTCTTCTGGCTTCCTTCTTTTTCCATGCTGGATGCTCCTTCTCCTGCCCCTCCGGCCCTTGGACATCAGACTCCCAGGTTCTTTGGCCTTTGGACTCTTGGACTTGCACTGGTAGCTTGCTGGGGGCTCTCAGACCTTTGGCCACAGACTGAAGCCTACGCTGTTGGCTTCCCCGGTTTTAAGGCTTTTGGACTCAGACTGAGCACTACTGGCTTCTCTCTTCCCCAGCTTGCATATTGTGAGGCTTTGCCTTGTGGCCCTGTGAGTCAATTCCCCAAATAAACTCCCTTTTATATACATATATCCTATTAGTTCTGTCCTTCTGGGGAACCCTGACAAATACATCTGGGAAGTCTAAAATAAAGGCTCCTAGGTCCTACTGAATCAAATACTTCTGATTCAGTATTTTCTTAAAAGAACTTCCATCTATACAATGGACCACTCTGCAGACAGTCAAAACCAACAAGGAAAATAATCTGTTTGTCACAGAAGGGACTCACAGACACAAAGTGAAAAAGCAAGCTATCAAAAGATAATGAGTAGTATGATAACATTCACGGCTAAAAGTCATTTAACTATATATGCACAAATAAAAGTCTATTTTAAGGCAAAGAGAAAGGCCTGACAGAATCCACAGGAGAGATCACTGTGGGTATATGAGGGGCTGGGGGTGGGCAGGGAAAGTGGACTGGGAACGGGAAGGGGAACTGCTGTTCATGAGGGGACTTCAGCTTTATCTCCATTGTTTGCATGTTTCAAATAAATATGTAATTAACAATATAATTAATAGCAAAGAATATAAAAAAAGGAAAGCTCCACGTGATTCTGTGGGTGAGCCAGAGTCAGAGCCCACCCAGGGTACAATCCACAGAGCAGAGCAGAAACCCAATTGCCAGATCCACCAGAAGAGACCAGCTTGGGGAAGCCGATGACTCGAGGTGCAACATCACCTAGCCCACTTGTACTCTTTGAGCCTCAGTTTCCTCTTCAGTAAAATGATAGGGCAATACTCTCTGACTATTTATGCTGCTTTGAGATCTATTATTTTAATTGCTTAGTTTGCAAGGCTCCATAATGGTGGCTTTGGGTTTGGGGACTGGAAGGGGAGGATTTGGCTGAAAATTTTCAGTAAATTGAAAAGGGAATGGTTCTGGCATGAGGTATATGCAACTTTGTACTTCTGAAATAGCAAGTCTTAAAGCCCAGTGGCCCTTTAAAAACCCCAATTAGAATGCTACGAATCAGGTCTTTAATGGGATGTCTCCCTTTTCCTCGTTTTCACTTCCTTATTTACAAAGAGGCTCCCAATAGATGATCAAAGTTATCTAATCACCGTGGAAATAATATAATCATAGCAAAAGCAGAAATTGTATGCCTGAAGTGGAGAGAAAAGTATTCTTCCTATTTCAATGGTTTCTTTAAGTGTGCTATCAATTTGATTTAATTATTATAATTCCTCCCTGTGCTAGATATTTTATTATAAACTAATGACATTTTACTTGCATGAACTTGGCCAACACTGCTGAGCTATTACATTTTGGTTAAGAGGCCAGATCTCAGAAAGAATGGCAGCCTTTGTGTGCACCAGATTGGTGAGAATTACTGGGAGTCTTGAACAGCCACCGGTCAAACAGAATAGGGAGGATGTCCTGGCAGCATGGCTGCCAGGTCTGCTGGAGATGGAACACCAGGAAACCCAGCTCATGGCCCCTCCAAGTCTCCACTGGCTCCCAAGTGCCATCTGCCTCCAAGTTTGGATCCTTTCCTTCAGTTCCTGCCACAGTCCAGACCCTCGGGAGAAATAGCTTCTCTCCCCATCATAAAATTGCCTTCAAAGGTGCAGTGGCAAATAGCTCCTGCCCAGAGTGACAATGGGAATGTGCAGGAGTTCCAGCTCAGAGTCTGGGAATCTCTTCGAGACCAATTACTGGATTGGTTCAGAATCCAAGACCTACCACTTTCCTAAGGTTTTTCCAAGAGCAGCATTAACATTCAAAAGCACACTTCAACTACCGTACTCACTTTAGCCGTTTTATCAGATTTGCAGCCCAAAAGACCTCAGACCTTAACCATGGACCCAGAAGTGGTGGTCCCATTGGAGGGCACTTGAATCCACCTGACCAGCCCACCCCGCCGCTAACTTCTTTGCACACCACACAATAACCAAGTACCTCTTAGATCGCATATGCATCTCCTTCTCTGAAATGCACCGTTCTTTGGGTTTAAACAAGTTATCTGGAAAAAACAGAAAGATAATTAAGTTCAGAAGGCATAGAATCTCGCATATTTCCAGAGAAACACTGTGGTGGATTTAGTACATACTCTGCTATTTGATCCTTATTCTAAGCCATATCCTGAGTCTAAGCAGGACACTGTAGAGACTGATGCACCGTAAGTGGTTTTACTGACAATTGGCCAACAACAGGGCTGGTCTTGATAATACTTAAATAAGAACATGAAGTACAATGTTAGCATCTAACCTACTTTATGGAGAGCAGCACCTCTGAATGCTTCCTTTAGCAATAGAGTCATGGTTTTCTGAGGAAAGTGCCAGAGTTGCAAGGTCATTCCATTCAATAGAAAAGTCCCTCCACTAGGTCGGTGAGGCCTCTAAGGACAAGGAAATCCCCCAGCTATCCCTAGGGCATTTTGTAAGGAGGAGGTTTCACTGTTGTCTACAGCCCTCCATCAGAGCTGCTCAGCCTCTACAAGACGAAGACCACCTTGCCCCCTTCCTAAGGTCGGGAAAGGTAACGAACAACAACAAATAATTGTGTGTGCTCAGTATTCTTTAATTAAGAAAGTACACAGTAGCTAAAAATCACTATGAGACTGGGATCCTTTTCATTCTAAGTACATATCTCTAATCGTAATGATGTTCACAGATGGTGCACTTAAAAATGGTGTGTGTTTTAAAAAAAAGTGTATGTCCTTTTGCAAAAGGTGAAAGGGGACTGTTGCAATAACTCATTTCCCACGAGACACTCAGCCATGTAGATTAACAAAGGAATATGTAAATGCTGTGGAGTGCCTGTTGCATGGGGCTATGTTTGAGCAACTGCCATGCTTCCTAAAACACCTGGGCAGTAACCTGCTCACCCAGCAGAAGCAGACAGGCAACTTAGCCCCTTGCCAAGCAGCAGAGTTGGAGTGGGTTTCCCGTGATCCCCAGTGAAGCCCTGGGTGTTTCTATTCATCTCCTCTCAACCCGGGCCTGTCCCTTTGCTCATCAATCCAGTGGAGCAACCAAATATTTCTCAGGCTTGAGAATAGACAGAATTTTCTAGGAATATCTAAGAAGGTAGGATAGAACCAAGGTTCCTAAGAAATTTCTTCATCTCTGGAGAAACATCACACAAAAACAGAGTGGCTGAGCTTGTCCTCTGTCTGGTTATTCAAACATGAAAAAGAATATGGCAGCATCATTTAACTTCAAAGACAAGATTCAAAGGAGAAATGAGGGAATCATTTATTGGGGAAGATCCAAGATGGCCGTTTAGGAACAGCTCGGAGTTGCAGCTCCTAGTGAAAGCGCAGAGGGTGAGTGGATGCCGCATTTTTATTGCCCATGGACCAGGAGATTCCAAGGTGGAGGAGCCCCACGGGTCACCAGCGCGGCTGTTGTGGCCGGCGGGGTTCTTTTGGCCGGCACGGCTGCTTTGCCCCGTGCCGCTGCTTTGTCGGCGCCCCAGCCGGCGGTTCTCCATACAAAATACACTGGTCCAGGTGCCCTTTTGGCTGGCAATTGGAGCCCTGAGAAGTCACACATTCATCTGATTAAAGAGGGGACTGAACAGGGAGCCAGGCCAGGAGATTTGTGGGCAAAAAAAAGCACCACGAATCTCAGTGCCGCTGTTTAAGCTGGCACAGTGAGTTGCCGCAAGCGAAATCACACAGATCCCGGCGCCTTTTTAACAGGCGACTGGAACACCTGGGATAGAGTTGACTGTTCAACTAAAAAAGAAAAAAAAGGCTCTGAGGCAGGGAGCCACGTGATCAGGCATGGCTGGTCCCGCCCCCACAAAAGAACAGCAATCAGAAACTCTCTGGATTGAGAGTTTCACAGCAAGCACAGCTGAACTCGGGACCATCCAGCTCTGTGGGGGAGGGGCGTCAGCGATTACCGAGGCACTCCACCACTACGGAGGTAGTCCGCCATTGCTGAGGCTGCCTGCCATTGCCAAGGCAACCTGCCATTACAGAGAGAGTCCGCCAATACAGAGGTGGGCCACTATTGCCGGGGCAATTCTAACTACACCCATATAAACAGGACTGCAGGGAAGTTCACACAGCAGCTGGGCAGACGGAGCTCACAGCAGCTTAGCAAAGCCTCTGCAGGCAGACAGTGAATAGGCTGCCTCCTTGCTGGGCAGGGCAGCCCTGAAGCAAAAAAGGCAGCAGCACAATGGAAACTCATAAAGAAAGCCCTAACTGCCTGGGACAGAGCACCTGGGAACAAAAAGGGGTATATGAGTTCTGCTGCAGCAGACCTAAACATACCTGCCTAGCAGCTCTGAATGAACAACGGAGCTTACAGCTCAGCACTTGAGCTCCTATAAAGGACAGACTGTCTCCTCAAGCAGCTCCCCAATCCCTGTATACCCAAAGAGTCACCTCATAAAGGAAAGATCAGACTGATATTTGGTGAGTATCCTTTTGGGACAAAGACAGCAGAAGAAGAAACTGGTAGCAACCCTTACTGTTCTGCAGCAGCTGCAGGCGAAACCCAGGCAAGCAGGGTCTGGAGTGGACCTCAGCAGTCCTAGAGCAGAGGGGCCAGACTGTTAGAATGAAAACTAAGAAAAAGAAATCACTTCCTCATCAACAAACAGAACGTCCACTCAGAGACCCAATCTGACAGTCAGCAACTACAAAGACGACAGGTAGATAAATCCATAAACATGGGAAGAAACCAGCGCAAAAAGGATGAAAACATCCAAAACCAGAACACCTCTCCCCCTATAAGGGATCACAACTCCTCACCAGCAAGGGAACAAGGTTGGATGGTGAATAAGTGTGATGAAATGACAGAATCAGACTTCAGAAGGTGGGTAGTAAGAAACTTCTGTGAGCTAAAAGAACATGTTCTAACCCAATGCAAAGAAACTAAGAACCTTGAAAAAAGATTTCACAAAATGCTAACGAGAATGGACAACTTAGAAAGGAATATAAGTGAATTGACGGAGCTGAAAAACACAACACGAGAGCTTCACGAAGCATGCACAAGTTTCAACAGACGAATTAACCAAGCAGAAGAAAGGATATCAGAAGTCGAAGATCAACTCAATGAAATAAAATGAGAAGGCATGATTAGAGAAAAAAGAGGGTAAAGAGGAATGAACAAGTCTCCAAGAAATGTGGGACTATGTGAAAAGACCTAATCTACATTTGATAGGTGTACATGAATGCGACAAAGAGAATGAATCCAAGCAGGAAAATACTCTTCAGGGTATTATCCAGGAAAACTTCCCCAACCTAGCAAGGCAGGACAATATTCAAGTCCAGGAAATACAGAGAACACCACAAAGATATTCCTCACAAAGAGCAACCCCAAGGCACATAATCGTCAGATTCACCAGGGTTGAAATGAAGGAGAAAATGCTAAGGGCAGCCAGAGAGAAAGGTCGGGTTACCCACAAAGGGAAGCCCATCAGACTCACAGCAGATCTCTCCGCAGAAACCCTACAAGCCAGAAGAGAGTGGGGGCCAATATTCAACATCCTTAAAGAAAATAACTTTCAACCCAGAATTTCATATCCAGCCAAACTAAGCTTCATAAGTGAAGGAAAAATAAAGTCCTTTGCGAACAAGCAAGTATTCAGAGATTTTGTCACCACCAGGCCTGCTATACAAGAGCTCTTGAAAGAGGCTCTACAGATAGAAAGGAACAACCAGTACCAGCCACTCCAAAAACATGCCAAATGGTAAAGAGCATCAACACAATGAAGAATCTGCATCAACTAATGGGCAAAACAGCCAGCTAGCACCAAAATGGCAGTATCAAATTCACACATAACAATATTAACCCTAGATGTAAATGGACTAAATGCCCCAATCAAGACACAGACTGGCAAATTGGATAAAAAGCCAAAACCCATCGGTGTGCTGTATCCAGGAAACCCATCTCACATGCAAGGATACACAAAGGCTCAAAAGAAAGGGTTGGAAGAAGATTGACCAAGCAAATGGAGAGCAAATGGAGAGTTGCAATTCTCATCTCTGATAAAATGGACTTTAAAGTAACAAAGATCAAAAGAGACAAAGAAGAACATTACATAATGGTAAAAGGATCAATGCAACAAGAAGAGCTAACGATCCTAAATATATACGCACCCAATACAGGAGCACCCAGATACATAAGGCAAGTTCTTAATGACTTACAAAGAGACTTAGACTCCCACACAATAATTGTGGGAGACTTTAACACCCCATTGTCAATATTAGACAGATCAACCAGACAGAAAATTAACAAGGATATCCAGGACCTGAACTCAGACCTGGAAGAAGCAAACCTAATAGACATTTACAGAACTCTCCACCCCAAATCCACAGAATATACATTCTTCTCAGCACCACATCACACCTACTCTAAAATTGACCACATAATTGGAAATAAATCATTCCTCAGCAAATGCAAAAGAATGGAAATCATGACAAAGTCTCTCAGACCACAGTGCAATTGAGTCAGAACTCAGAATTCAGAAACTAACTCAGAACCGCACAGCCTCATGGAAACTGAACAACTTGCTCTTGAATGTTGACTGGATAAACAATGAAATGAAGGCAGAAATAAAGATGTTCTTCGAAACCAACAAGAATGAAGACACACATACCAGAATCTCTGGGACACATTTAAAGCAGTCTCTAGAGGAAAATATATAGCAATAAGTGCCCACATGAGAAGCAAGGAGAGATCTAAAATTGATACCCTATCGTCAAAATTGAAACAGCTAGAGGAACAAGATTGAAAAAACTCAAAACCTAGCAGAAGACAAGAAATAGCTAAGATCAGAGCAGAACTGAAGGAGGTAGAGACACAAAAAACCCTTCAAAAAATCAATAAATCCAGGAGCTGGTTTTTCGAAAAGATCAACAAAATAGACCACTAGCCAGATTAATAAAAAAGAAAAGAAAGAATAACCAAATTGATGCAATAAAAAATGATAAAGGGGATATTACCACAGATTCCACAGAAATTCAAACCATCATCAGAGATTATTACAAACAACTCTATG